CCCAGTCACTTTATGTACTCTAAAATAAATAGAAATGCATAATTCAAGAATAACTTAAGTAAAAAAAAAAAAGAATAACCAAAGTATTGGATTTTTTCAAACTCTAAAAAAAAGACAGCAATTTGTTAAGTTTTGATATGTGTATTTATATATACATGTGTATTTATAAAATACATTTAAAAATAAAAATAATAATAAAATACATATCTGATAGAGGATTAAACACGATCAGCTCTTCATGTATGTAGGTTCTGCATTCAGTACACTTGCAGATTGAAAGTATTTGGGGAAAATTGCTTCTACCCCAAACACATCCAAATTTTTTTGCTTGTCATTATTCCTTGGACAAATCAGTTACATAACATCTTACTATACTAGGTATTATAAATAACCTAGAGATGATTTAAAGTATACAAGTTGGGGCATATAGATTATATGCAACTATTTTACCATTTATAAAAAAGAACTTGAACACCCATGGATTTTGGTTCTCCTTGGAAGATCCTGGAACCAATCCCTCGTGGATACAGAGGGACTACTGGACGTAACTGTTTTAGTGAGCTTTTTCACTGCTGTGACTAAAAGACCCATCCAGAATAATGTTAGAGAAGGAAAAGTTTATTTAGGAGTTCATGGTTTCAGAGATTTCATTCCATAGAGAGCAGGCTCCATTCCCTGAGACTCAAGGTGAGGCAGAACATCATGGTGGAGGAATGTGGCAGAGGAAAGCAGCTCACACGATGATCAGAAAGGAGAGAGGGGGAGAGAGAGAGAGAGAGAGAGAGAGAGAGAGAGAGAGAGAGAGAGAGAGAGAGATCTGCACTTGTCAAGTATGAATATACCCCAAAGCCATGCCCCCAATGACCCACCTCCTCCAGACACATCCCACCTGCCTCCAGTTACCACTCAGTTAATACCATCAGGAGATTAATGCACTGATTGTGTTAATCACAACCCAATCATTTCCTCTCTGAACCCTCTTGCATTGTCTCACAGTGAGCTTTTGGGAGGTACCTCACATCCAAACCATAACACTAACCAACTAAATAAATCCATGAAACTCATGGATTCATATATCATACTCGTGAAATTAAGACAGTGAACATATCCACATATATCCCCAAATTTTCTTTTGCCCTGCTTTTTTCTCCTTTTCATCCCCCTCTCCCTCCCCTATTTTCTTTATATCATTATACATCAGTTTCCATTTTTTAGAATTTTAAATATGTATATAGAATCATATAACATGTGCTTGTTTTTCTTTTTTTTTTTCTGGCTTTTTTTACTCTCACGCTTATTTTGAGATTTATCCATTTTGTTGCTGAGCTCATTCCCTGCAATGCAGAGTAGCTTTCCATCATATGGATATTGTTGGGAGTCTCCCTGAGAACTCCCCAGGCCTTTCAGACATGGTGGCAGGCAAGTTGCCAGTGGGCGGATAACAAGTTGTTTTGAAAATTTTCTAATTGGTCCTCCCATCTTCGTGAATAGTTCGTGATCCCCATGAATCTAATGCAAGGCGTATGTGCGTGCACCGTAGGTGATGACCTGACCTTTACTATGATAGGCCCCGGGAGCTTCCTGGTTTAAGATAATTGACTTTCACTTTCTATATAACCTAGCACCAGCTTGCAATAAGGTGCTTCATCTTTGTCACTGCTATCTGTGTGTGTGCATTTTAATCTCCTACCACGAACCTTGGCCTTTCAGATATGCCACACAATCACTTTATCCATTCACCTCTTGGTGAATGTCTGGACTGTTGTTTTGGACTGTTATAAATCAAAGTGCTATGAACATTCATGTACAAGTCTTTGTATGTACACATGCTTTTATTATTTTGGCTACATTTATGAATGGGATGGCTGGATCATATAGTGAGAGCTTGACTTTTTATAAAGCTGCCAAAGATTTTCTAAAGAGGTTGTTCCCTTTAAAATCCCCATCAGCCATGTATTAGAATTCCAATTGCTCCACATCTTTGCCAAGAATTGGTCTGGTCAAGTTCTTTTAATGTTGGCCGTTTTAATAAGTGGTAGTGGTATTTTATTGTGGCTTTCAGTTGCATTTCCCTTGTGACCAATGTCGGTGAACATCTTTTGATGTAGTTAATTGGCATCAATGTATCTTATTTAATAAAGTGCCTGTTCAAAAGTTTTGCCCCTTAAAAAAAAATTTGAGTTTGTTTTCTTAATGAGTTTTTAAGAGTTCTTTATATATTCTGGGTCAAAATTCTCTCTCAGATAAGTGTTTTATAAATACTTTGTGCTTTGCTTTTCATTCTCTTTAACGAATGTCATTCAAAGTGCAGAGATTTTGGATTTTGTTAAAGTTCAATATATCAGGATTTTATGGATTTGCTATTGCTATGGGGCTAAGATATCATTGCCTAAGCTATGGCCACAAAAGTATTTTCTCATTGAAGTTTCCTGTGTTGGTCTTTATATTTAGGTCCATGGTACATTCTGAGTTGATTTTTGTATATAATATAAGGTATAGTTTGAAGTTCTTTTTGAAAATGGGCATCCATTTTTTCTGGTACTATTTGTTGAAAAAAAAAACCCTACCATTTATTCCCTGATTTACTTTTGTGTCTTTGCCTCAAATTATTATAATATATTTATGGATTCTCTGTTTTCTATTCTGTTCTGTATACTTTCTTCCAGTGCTGGGGATTGAACCCAGAGCCTTACACATACTAAACAAGTAGTATACCACTGAGCTACACCTCAGCCTGCACAGAGCTATTTGTGACTCTTAATGCCAATGCTACACTGTCTTTATTACAGTAGCTTTATAATAAACCTTGAAATCAGGTGTGTTCATCTTCCAATTTTGTTCTTTTTCAAAGTGTTTAGCTATTCTCTGCACTTGGCCTTTCTGTGTAAGTCAACTTGTCAATTTCTACAACAACAACAAAAGCCTGTTGGGCTTTTGACTGGGAGTGAGATAAATATATTGAATTTAGGAAGAAATAGCTTCTTAATATTGAGTCTTCCAACCAATATGTATGGCATATCCCCCCCCCCACTTTTTTTTTTTTAGATCTTTAACTTTTCTCATCAATGACTGGCAGCTTTCAGTTTAAAAGTACTATAACATTTCATATTTTAAATGCTACTGTAAGTGGTATTTCTATTTTAACTTTTTATCGTGGGCATAGGAAAAATGCAATTGATTTTTATGATTAGAGCTGGTGTCCTACCACCTTGTCAATTTCACTTACAGTTCTAGTAACTTTGGTGAACTTCATCAATTTTTTTTACATGAATAATCATGCTACTGGGACTAACTATGATTTACCTTTTCCTTTCCAATATGAATTTCTTCTATTTCTTTTTTGTCTCCTTGAACTGGCTAGAATCTTCATCACAATGCTGAATAGAAGTGGTAAGAGCAGACCTTCTTGTCTTTTCATGGATGGTAGGGAAGAACGTTGGTTTTTCACCATTAGGGACAATGTTAGCTGGTGGTGTTTTTGATTTGTTTGGAAGATGCCCTTGTTCAGGTTGGGATAGAAAGGTCCTTCCTATTCCTAGTTATTTGAGAGTTTTTGTCAGGAGTGAATTTTGTTAAATACTTTTCTTGCATCTATAAAGATGATCATAAGGTTTTTCCTTCTAAATTTGTTAGCATGGTGAATTGTATTATTGGTTTTCAAATGTTAAGCCATCCTTGCATTCCTGGGATAAACCCTGCTTGGTCAGGATATACTACCCTGTCTTTATATATGAAGTTGGATTCAATCTGCTAAAATTTTCTACAGATCGTTTGCATTTATGTTCACAAGGGAAGTTGGACTGTATTTTTCTTTCCTTGTACTATCTTTTTACAGCTTTTGGTGTCAGGATAATATTGGCCTTTGTATACTCTTAGAAAGTAGTTCCTACACATCAGTTTTTTGGAAGAGCTTGGGTAGAATTGGTGTAAGTTCTTCTTTAAATATTTGGTAGAATTTTTCAATTTAGCTTTTGGACCTAAAATTTTCTTATAGGAATATTTTTAACTATCAGTTTAATTTCATTAATAGGGTCATTTGTCTCTGTTTCTTCTTGAGAGAACTTTGATCTCTGGTGTGTTTTTCAAGGAGTTTCCCATCTTAGCCAAATTACCAATTTTATTGGCATAAAGTTTTTTTATAATATTCCTTTGTTAGTCTTCGGTTCTATTTTGGATGAACACAGGCTAGGGTATCACCAAGGCCTGGCAAGTGCAGTTCAACATGAAGCTCCTTGAGGATAGGTTGTACTTTCCCCTACTTGAACTGCAGAGCTCATGATCCTGGCAGATGTCTGCAGTACTGGGTAAGAGCTCAGCAAGAACCTGTTGATTGTGAGTGATGTTGGAGAGAATGCATGTGAACGAGGGAAGTTCTGCACCCTTGGTGGTGCTGAGAAGTTAGGACAGTGTGAGATTAAGATGGAATACTGTACAAGTTATATGAGTTTCAATTGAAATCTCAGCTTTTGCATTAACTTGCTGTGTGATGTTGGTCAAGTCACTCAACCTCTCTGATCCTCAATGTTCTCATTGGTAAAATGGATTTATTCTGGATTCTAAAAGGGAGTGAATAATATCCATCTCAAAGGGATGTGAAAATTCCATGAAAAAAAAAAAAAGTATATATTGAGGCTATGACAAAGTGTCTGCCTCTAAGAAAACAATAAAGGGCTGGCTTATCAGGATCTGTTTTAGTTGTTGTGTGGCTGTTTAAATAAGGAGAAATTGCTTTTAGGCTTCCTTACCCGTCTCCTTCCAATATGGAAATTCCTGTTTCTCTACTCTTGCCTCCTCCCCTCCTGCGGACCAGCTGATCTCTTAGCTGTCGATCCTGGCACACTTCTTCTGCGTCCTGAGCTTCTATTAATTAAGAGGCGGTTGCTAAGAGATGTCAGGACACACCGGCGACTGGCTCTGCACCTTCCTCTCATCCCCTCTGGTTCTTTTCCAGCCCCACTCTGTCCTCGTCACACCTGTTTCTCTCCCATCTTCATACTTAGGTTCGGAAAAGACAGAGAAGTTGGCCGATCCGTATGGCTACCCCTGGTGAGAGAGTGGTCCGCAGACCCCAGGGACTTGGTGGGGAGCCGGATGGGAGCGGCGCCTGCCTGAGTCCGCAGCACCACCTGGAGCGCAGGGAGACCCTGGAGCAGGCGCCAGGCCAGCTGGCCATGCTGAGGAAGTCGCAGGAATTTTTCCAGACCTGTGATGCCGAAGGCAAGGGCTTCATCGCCAGAAGGGACTTGCAGGTAAGAAGGGTCCCAGCTGGGCCAGCCCACCTGGAACACCCAGGCACCTGGAAATTCTTGTCCTGAGCTAGAACTGCCCCACAGGAGGTGACATCCTTAACAGAAAAGACCTCAGTTCAGTTCTGGAAGGTCAGCCCAAACTCTACTGGGACCCGGACCTCCTGCATTCATTCTATTTCTGTCCTTTACCTGAGGTCAGACTGGGGGTCGTTTTTCTTCTCTGATTGAGTAACTCCCCAGGATTGTGAGAAATGATGATAGTAACATAAGAGACTTAAGTAAGACACAGAGAAGAACCTTCTGAGAGTAGAGATAGAAAGGCACAGATCTGTTGCTTTCAACGAAGTCATCTCTGCTGCGTGTGCCTTAGGATAGGACAGTGTCCAATGCGGCATGCTGGGAGAGGGCATTTCTGAGCGTCATCTCACCTTTGCTCTCAACCCTCTCAAAGCACATCTGGAGGGAGAGCCTGTGGCAGAGCCTAGGGGCCCACCATTGCTAGGGCGGGCTCAGCAAACTTCTTATAAAGGTCCAGAGAACCAGTGTTTTCTGTTTTGTAGGTGGGTAGTCTCTCTCACCTTCACCAACTTGGTGGTTACAGCCTGAAGTCATCCACAGACAATGTATAAACAGATAGATGAGCATGCCGAGTTCCCAGAAATCTTTATTTATGGAACTGGAATTCAAATTTTATATAATTTCATGATGTCATCAAATGTTAGTCTTCTTTGGGTATTTCTTTTTCAGCCATTTAAAAACTATAAAAACTATTCTCATAGACCATAGAAATAGAGGTTACAGCCAGGTTCAGCTCAGGGGTGTAGTTTCCAAGCCCTGGTTTAGTGAGTTTCCACCTTAATTGTCACAATGTCTTCTCACTGTCTTACTGATGATGTCACCCAGTTGGAAGTAAATAAAACAGGCCCCACTCGAGTACTGTGAAAGGAACTCTTAGCCCCCACCTCATCTTTGTGTGCTCTGTTAAAAGCATTTTTGGAAAAGATGTGTGCCTGTGCTGTCAGGAGGAAAATCTATGATGGTCAGGTTTTGTTTAAGTCTAAATTTTCAGAATATAGTAAAATTGGGCAATGAAATATGAACACTCATCAGTATCATGCCATCTCCACTCGTCCCTGGGAGCTACGCAGCAGGAGCCTGTAACCCGGATGAAATGAAGTGTTGGATTCTTCCTCTGCCTGGCCCCACAGGATGGGGTTTGCATGCATTTCCTAGGGTCATCCCACCATTATGCACATCCAGGGAAGAGACCTGGGCAGCAACACCAGCTCTGCACCCCTTTGTTTTCAGCGACTGGCTCCCTAATAAGTTTCTGTTGCTGAAACAGATTCCCCAAGTCCCACTCCACACGGAAGGCCAGATTTGGGGTATTTCAAGGAGCCCTTTGACTAACCTCTACCTAGGAGCTTCATAATTGTCATTCACAGGTCCACAGTAGAAGTGTTTGCTAGGGTGGTTTTAATAGACATGCTTAACTTTTGGGGGGGGTGGGTGGGGTGCTGGGGATGGAGCCCAGGGCCTTGCTCACGCTAGGCAGTGCTAGGCAAGTGCCACTGGACTGTCCTGCCAGACCCTGCCTGCCTAGCTCAGCTAGAAAAAAAGAAAAGGAATTCACATGCATTGAGCATTGACTCTGGGCCATGTGTGCTGTTAGCTCAGTACTCGCGGTATCCATTCCCCATTGACTCTCATTGAACCCCTCTCTTTAATGAGAATGGAAGAGACTCAGTGAATTTCAACTGCCAAGTGTACATTTATAGATAAATCATTTGTATTAGACTTGGGATGTGATCAGAAACATTAGTCCCAGCTACCTTCCTCTCCACCTCCCTCCTGATCCAGGTGGGAGGAAAAGGAGATGGAGGAGCCAAGGAGCCCAGGCTGCTGCACTCAAGCCATTTATTTCTACTATCTACTTAATTCTCAAAGTTTTCCTCCCTTTGTGGGCAATGGAGCCTTTGAAGCTTTCAGACTGACAAGGTGTGATGGAGAGAGAGCAAAGCAGGTCATGGAACCGCCATCCCTCTGGCCACCCAAGGAGGCAGATAGGATGGGAAGACAGACATGAGGAAGAGCAGCCTTCAGCCTTCTCAGAGTTGACCATGGCTGCCTGTGGGTATCCCCCTGTCCTTGCTTGTCCTGGCAGATTCTAAGGCATCTTGGCTTGTCGCTCTCTGGGTGCGACCACTCCCTGGGATGACTCCCATTCCTTGGGCCCGGCCTCCACTGCCTTTTTGCCTTCAGTCCCCAGTGCAGCCTCATGGGAAGGGAGAGAGCTCACATTTGTCATGGGAGACTGGGCTCAGTGGAGGGGAAAAGTAGTGGTCACAGGAGCTGGTGAAGAAGCACAGTTGGAAGAAGGTTCTGCAGAGCCTGTAATTGTTTTGAGAAAGGAGAAAGTAAGTTAAACTCCTCCCTTGATGTGTTTTACCTTCTTTCTCATTCTTAAAAACAAACAAACAAACAAAAAACACCTTTTTTGCAGACGGCAAGATCAACTTAGCAATTATCCAAAAGGTGGGGAGACTGCCACAGTGGTCCGAGCCCACCAGCAGGTAGCTAGCCCGAAAGGATACTGCATGCACCTAGAACAAAGGAGGAGTCCTGCAGATTTTTCAAATTGAGGCCCCTGAAGGAACTCTGGAGGAAGCGGAGGTGGGTGGCGTGGAGAGTAGGAGCACGAGCTGCCCGATGCTTGAGCTCCACGTGGGGACCTTCTGGTATAGGGCTGCAGGTGATGGACACTGACCTGTGTGAACGGGGGTATGGGAGTTTCCAGTCCTGCGCCTCACCAGTGGGCCCTCGGCGTCACACCATCCTCCTCAAGGAACTCTCGGGTTTCATGGAGACGCCTCCAGGCAGAGATGGGGTTATTGCTGCTTTTCAGGGTTGGTTCTAATGCAGTACCCTAGAGAAACAGAGGGTCCCAAGTACCAGTCCTGCCTCAAGGACACTCATGAGAGGTCTGGGGAGGACCTGAGGAAGATGGGGAAAGAAGGAGCCAAAGGGCTCTCTGAAAAAACCGAGAGCCTCAAAAACCCGACTTCTCTGGCTTTCAGAGGTCTAACAGGATTGTCTACCAACACCAAGTATCCACTTCCCTGTGTTAAGTCAGATTTTTGTCCCTGTGACCAAGATACCTCACAAGAACAGCTCAGAGAAGGGAAAGTTTATTTGGGGCTCCTGGTTTCAGAGATCTCAGTACACAGACAGCTGAGTCCATTGCCCTGGACCCAAGATGAGGCAGAACATGAAAGCCGAATGGCACAGTGGAGGAAATCTTCTCACCTCCTGGGGACCAGGAAGCAGAGAGAGGGAAAGAAGGCCCAGAGGATACACCCTCAGGCATACCCGCAATGACTCCCCTTCCCCAGCCATCCTGCACCTGCCTAGAGCTTCCACCCTGTCACTCCATTCAAACTAGAATGGATTGATTAGGTTACAGCTTTCACAATCCAATCAGCTCACCTCCGAATATTCCTGCATAAACTCAGGAGTTTTGAAGGGACACCTCATGTCCAAACCATAACACTGTCTTAGAATTCAGGCTAAGCCAAATGGCTAAGAATCCTTTAGAGGTTGGCAGGCTAACCAAATCTGACCCAATACCCGTTTCTATAAGTAAAGTTTTGTTGGAACACAGCTGTGCTCATCCATTTACATGTTCCCAAGATAGGGGCCGAGTTGAGTAGTAGTGACAAAGACTGAATGGATGCATATTATCTAGCTTTTTACACAAGAAGTTAGCTGACTTCTGATTTAGGTTAATTACAGAAGAAGTTAGCTGACTTCTGATTTAGTTTAACTTGAAAACTTTAAAAGATTTTTGTGGTTAATTGACTTGGGTTGTGATCTCAGATTGGCAGCTTACTAGTAATGTGAATTTGTATGTCTCTTAACCCCTCAGGCCATGGTTCCTTAGCTGTGAATTATTAATAGCTACCTTCTAGCATTAGAGGAGAATTAAATGAGCTTATGCATGTAGGGCACTTAGCTGCAACACCGGGACCTGGAGATCCCTCCCTAAATGCACAGTGTGGGTACCACATCTCAGCCTGGTCCCTGGTATTCTCCACACTGTGATGTTTTTAAGTTGTGTTAAAATGTGCATTACATGAAATTTGCCACCATAACCATTTTTAACCAGTTTGATGGCATTAAGTACATTCACATTGTTGGGCAACCATTACTACCATCAATCTCCAGAACTCTTTTCATCTTGCAAAGCAGAAACTCTGTACTGACAAAATAGTAAGTCCCCACTATCCCTCCCCCAGCCCCTGCAATCACTATCTATTCTCTGTCTCCAGGAATTTCTCGACAGTAAGTACCTGTTCTTTATGGAATCATCCGACCTGTGTCCTTCTGCATCTGTTTATTTCACTTAGCATCTTCAGAGTTCATCCACATTGTAGCCCGTGTCAGAATTTCCTTCCTTTATAGGGCTGAATGTCCCACTGTTAAGTATGTACCACTTTAAGTTTAAACATCTGTCAGTCGGCTCTCAGGATGCTTACACCCCTTGGCTGTTTGTGAAAAACACTGCTGTTTTAATCAGCTTTTTAGCTTCTGTGACTAAATAACCCAACAAGAACAATTGTAGAGGAAAAGTTTATTTGAGGACTCACAGCCTCAGAAGTCTCACTCTATAGCTAGCTGGCTCCATTCCTTAGGGCTCAAGGTGAGGCAGGAGACTCACTGCGAAAGAGTATAGCAGAGGGAAGTGGCTCACATGATCAGGAAGCAGAGAAAAAAGACTCTACTCACCAGATACAAATATATACCCCAAAGACATACCCCCAATGCCCACCTCCTCCAGCCACACCCTACCAGTCTTCAGTTACCACACAGGATTAATTCACTGATTGTGTTAAGACTTCACAACCCAATAATTTCTCTTCTGAACCTTCTTGCATCATCTCACACCTGAGCTTTTGGGGGATAAATCACATCCATACCATAATAGCTGCTGTGGCTATGGG